GTTATTAGAGAAGCATTCAAGGGCTGTGTTCAGATGGACTTTTCATCAGAGTAACAGGGGGGACATTCAATTCAGGAACACAACATGTTTAAAGACTTTAAGCATTAAAAATGTATAAATAACAAAAAGATATGTTGTTGAGGAATATTGTAAATAAGAATGCACAACAATATTGAAAAATTTGGAATTTGTTTGATTTTTATTACTTATATTTGTGGCTGAAATTATGCAAGCTTACTTGGGGACATGGCAGTTTAATTGCACTAAAATAACATTATTTTTAATTCATTAATTTTGGCTACATATTGTGTTCTATGGTAGAGGGGCAGTAACTTTGTAAGATGAGCATTCAGAAACAAGAACTAGCCCATTTTTACACAAAATATATCACATTATGTCATGGGGACTCAAATGGCACCAAATGCTAGGATGACCCCTTTATGTATTTAATCCCATTTTATTAACCAATGTCTTTGCTGCTGACCTTCAACGATCAAATTCAGCCATACTAATAAGTAAAGATTACTTTGAATTACTTCGAGTTACGCGCCGCGTAAACATAAAACCATGTCTGCATTTGTGATCGGAGAAATGACAAACAACAAGCCCTACTCTACACTGCCCAAAAACTTGCTTTAAATATATAAAATATAAAAACTCTTTAAATATAAAAAACGTACTTACAGTCTGTGAGTCAGAACAGCCGGTATTGTAGTCTACTCTCCCAGGATCAGTAACAGTCCTCCATAAAATGTGCTGCACACATCGGGAGAGCTTGAGAATGGCGTGGCCGGTGATTTCGACGAAGGAGCGTCCGGAAGGACATGTGACGACCCCGGGCTGGACTCCGCTTCGTCCACGTGAAAGCTGATCCAGCGATCCACAGCGCAAAGTTGTAGTATTTCCTCAGCGACCAGCACGGATCAGCTCCAGGCAACCACTGATTTCTAGTCGTGTCCATTTTTGGAAGGCCAAACAAAGTAGTTTCGAAACAGTGTCACACACCGCGGCCTAGAGTGAGCAGAGGCCGGGGGATAAAGTGAGGAACGGCAGGAGGGTTAGATTGAGCAGAGGCGGGAGAGCTTGAGAATGGCGTGGCCGGTGATTTCGACGAAGGAGCGTCCGGAAGGACATGTGAGGACCCCGGGCTGGACTCCGCTTCGTCCACGTGAAAGCTGATCCAGCGATCCACAGCGCAAAGTTGTAGTATTTCCTCAGCGACCAGCACGGATCAGCTCCAGGCATGACGAAGCAGATATCGTCCTCTTTTGGAAGGCCAAACAAAGTAGTTTCGCTTTCACAACGAAACACACAGCGTCTTTACGACATGGCGGCGGCGGAAACAACAAAACTGCAGCGAGAATAAAAGTTGCGCCTTCTTTCTTTGCGTGAACATTTGGGCGGTGTTATACAAATCTTCCCACATCGTGACATAGATATGTGGGGGCGTGTTAGAACGAGCCGTTTTAGGTAGGCGTGGCTGACTTAACTTTTATAAAGAATATCTCTTTGGATTTGAGACTTTAGTCTTTGCAACTTTACAGATCTTCTTTATGCACCAAGAGCTTGTAACACTCCAAAGAGAAAGGCAAAATTGAAATCGCATCATATGACCCCTTTAAGATTTGCTAAAAATATAACTTATTTTAAAAACAAGCAAGCAACCCAGTTGAGACAAAGTTACGCAAACGTAATGTAATGAATTACTTTCCATAAAAAGCCACTAAGTAACTCAATTAGTAACCTTTTAGGTTGTAACACAATGTTGTAATGCATTACTTTAAAAGTGACTTTACCCATTTCCGCCGAGGAGTCATGAGAGACATGTATCCAGCTGCTCAGTGGTTTTGTTTCATATCTGGCTCTACTGTTTCACTTATAATGTGACGTACTGTCTGATTCAGGCTACTGAAAGCAAAATATCGGAGTTTAAATCATTCAAAGCTTATAAACACTTAGCACTGTCTGAATGTTTTACTGGAGCCAAACGCTAGAGGGCAGAAGAATCAGTCAAATGAGCTGAACCCGTCACCACAGCCTGAACGCGCGCGCGTGTGAACCTCATCAGCCGAGTATGATTAATGGCGTTTCAGCTCTATTTTTGTGGTTCATTTAGCAGTTTCTCAGTTCTATAAAGTGCTCTGATCTTCGGTTTCTGTCGTGTCCATCTGTACCGCTGTCTGTGAGCAGAAAGCTGCTGTCAGAAGCGCTGCTGGACATCTGGACGCCCCGCTGATAAAGAGTATGTGGTCAGACCTCACCGTCACAAACAGCAGCTCTTTCTCAGCTGTTTCAAAGAATGAGCATCTATTTACATGAAAAACATGTATAGATGAACACGACTCACGGAATGAAATGTGGATTAGCACTTAGGTTACTATAAATTATAGTAAAAAATAAATAAATCCGTCTTGCGAAAAATAAATACACTTCGCATAATTTTAATAATGTATATTAACATATAATATATACAGAAAATATGTTAAAAGAATATATTTAAGTGGGAAGTAGGCTACTTCTAAAAAGTATAGTAGGCTTCAAGCGTTTATGATAAAACTAAAATATACTTTAATGTAATTTCTATTGTATGTATTTAAATATATGTGTAATTACACATTCATTGACGAAGTTGCAATTTAGTAGGCCTACATTTAAAATATATGAACTTTATATGTAATATTAACACTACAGTTAAAATCAAGTACTTTACATGTGCTTTAGAATGTTAGGCAACACAAGTGTACTTTTTTAAAGCACAACAAAAGATTAAAACTAACTAATGATTTAAAAACTTTCTTGACATTACTACAAAGTGTGCTTTTTTAAAAGTGCACTTAAGTGTGTCAAGAAACAGTCATGAAAGTGTCTCTCTTTTAGTACACTACAAATGCACATTCAATACAGTTCAGCTGGTTTTATTGGTGTGATATTTTAAAAACCACTGCCTCTTTCTTATGCGCTGAAGTTCATTCAGTTAGACCAGTGGTTCCCAACCCTGGTCCTGGAGGCACCTCAACACTGCACATTTTGCATGTCTCCTTTCTCTGACACACCAGTTTCAGGTCTTGGAGTCTCTACTAATGAGCTGATGACCTGAATCAGGTGTGTTTGATTAAGGAGACATGCAAAACATGCAGTGTTGGGGTGCCTCCAGGACCAGGGTTGGGAACCACTGAGTTAGACTGATGGTTGAGCGGCCTTTCTCTCCAGAAACCAACTCTCTTCCTCAATGACTCGGATGCTTGACACCACATTTCTTACAGTCTCATGGCACAGTTAGTTCATTCTATTCTGTTCTACACACTGCAGCTTTACTAATGTCAAAACCTCTAAGAGTGACGTCACGGTGTTGTGTAGACATACTTTCCCGTACATGTCTCCACCTGTAACACAGACGGCAGGAGAGATTAAAGCTCACTAGTGCTGCAGAATCATCTGTCCTTCACTGATACTCTAATCTAACAGAGACCAGCAGAAACTTCATTTGTTCTCGCCAAACATAATCTCTGTCATCACTGGAGGAACGAGGCTGGTCTACACAAACTACAGCTGAACATCAGTATTCACAAAAACACAAAGAATTTATTTTATGCTGATTAGTGGTGAAACAGTGACTGCATGAAGAGTCAGGACACTTAACCCTTGTGCGCTCCTCATTTGGAAGTCACACTCATGGTCTTCGCGGTCAAAAGTGACCGGACACCTGAAATGTAACTTTTTTTTTTCTTCAGTAAAATCAATCTAATACATTTTTGTTCAGTAATATTTTTTCTTTTGTATTTTGAGAGAATTGTATGGTAATAATTAATATTTATGCAATAATGATCAATTTTTCCAATTGAAAATATTACAAAAACAAATTTCTCTAATTTTTAAAAATAAAATTTTTACATCAATATAGTATCTCTGATTCAAATAGAGACTAGGCCTTTAAAATCAATTTTTAAAGGCAGATTAGCACCTCCTGGTGAGAGCAAAGAAAGAAAAACATGTAATTTCATTGTGTAACCACTAGATGCCTGTATAGGAATCTATAGAGAGGCTTTTGAATTCCCTAGTTGTTTTTATACATAATTGTTTACTTTTATTAGGTTGTGGATTTAAATGTATATTAAGGCATTTTCTAAGACTACTTTTTGTCAAGGTTTATATTTTTTTGTTGTTTTAAATGTTGATTTGAAGCGTCAGTTTTTAAAATTATTATTACTACAGTCAAACCTGAATACAGAAAGCATTTTGTTATACAAAACATTAAAATTCTATAAAAATGTAACAAAAATAAACAGGAATGCTTTATCAGAGCGTAATCCTTCGGGGCCTGATCTGATTTTAACCTCTTATTTCAGTTTTCTGACTCATTTTGGCTATTTGATTATAGCCATACCAATTCATTTGAGTGTGTATAATTGTGTGTGTGTGTGAGTGGATGTGTCTGTTTTGCACTCTTGATGTTTTAGAGTGTAACCCCTTCCTTGCTGTGCAATTTTTTTCTACATTGTGTGGGATTTGTAGATAGTACACACAAACATTTTCTGTATTTTAATTTTTTTTGCCATTTCCCATTCATTTCCTATGGTCGGTCATTTTTGACCGAAGACCATGAGTGTGACTATTTTTTTTTTACGAGCACTTAGCTTTTTCGAATCATGCCCTCAATTTTTTTGTCCATCAATTAACATCTTGTGAAGCCAAAGTCTGTTTGTAAAAAACAAATCCATCAAGATGTTCTTAACTTCTTAAATTCATAATCCATAATAACGCTTCCTCCAGTGAAAAAGTCCATCTCCTGTTGTCTCTCACATTAAAATCCACCCACGTTTGTTCAGAACTGTTTTGGCTGGCTTGTAAACATTGCCTGATCTGTGCAGATTTCTCTCCTGATTCAGACCAGACGACTTCTTCACTGGAGGAAGCGTTATAATGGATTATTACACACATAGAAACACACAAACACACACTTTATTTGTCAGCAAAGAGTGTATCATGTAACAGTCAGTTATTTAATTTTATAGTACAAATATGTGCAGTACAGAACCATTTCACTAGTTCGTTTTTATGTGAAATACGAAACCAACAGATCAATTGAATATTGCAGGAGTCATTACAGTACTTTGATTGATATCACAAAAAATACTGATTCAAAACATGTCAAACGTAATTCATGCACACAAAGAAAGCCAGACAGGCAACATCCTGAAATAAATACACCTTGATGGAAAACTGACTGTTTGTAAGTCCTGATCAAATTTGACATGGTATCACACAACTGTGCTTTACACACAAATTTACCATTAAATGCAAGAGCTATTAAATTACGAAACAAAAAAAAAAAGTATTTTCGCGTCGGATGTTCTTATAATTAATCCCAAACTTTTTCTTTTTTCTTTGAAAATTACACTGGTGCTGCAATGAACTAATCTTCAAACGTTGATGACATTCTAAAAATATCAGTTGTTTATCAGGACAAAAACACTTTTAACAATTACTTCCTTTCCAAGCAACTTCCCCTATAAGATCTCAGTTCTGCAGAATTAAGAAGTGAAAATGAGACAGAAAAAGAGTCCAAACTCAACTGTACAGTCAAATTCAGTGCTATTGCATGCAATATAAAAATACCCAAGCACGAATGCATCTTTCAGTGTCGTGTAAACACCAGAGAGTGACTGAAATCATAACTAACAGACCTGATAATGCGACTGGAGCTCGTTTCTTCCAGCATGTAAAATCAGAACTGCATTTGTCCTTTACATTGTGCATCTGATCTGAAAGACTGAGGCACAATATGTGTTTAATCCTACAAATACTGGATTATGCATTCGGACTCGGCATGTAAACACATCTTCTGTGTTTGCAGTCTAACGGACGGAGCCCCAGCTGAAGGTCCCGATGGAGATGAGCGTCTGACAGGCTCCAGACGACAGCCACACCGTCTCCATCAGACCGAAGTGAAGGAAGCCCAGAGCGAAACCGCACGCCATGTCCGTCAGGTGGTGTTGGCCCAGCAGAACGCGGGACAGGCCCACCAGGACGGCCCACAGCACCAGCAGAACCCGCAGCGGGACGGCCAGCACCAGATGGGACAAGAGGAACTTGGACACCATGGCTGCTCTGCTGGCGTGTGCAGCCGGGAACGAGTACGTGTCCAGAGCCACACAGTCCAGAAAGCCGGGACTAATGTCCCATGGTCCTTTGCGCCTGACCAGTTTCTGAACCCCGGCCACAGTCAGGACATCAAGAATCAGCGCTGAAAGAGAGGTAAAAGAAATGATAGAGAGGAGTTGAGTGTGTCTCCATCAGGACATTTAGACCTACAGAACGTCTATAAAAAGCATGAAGCACATGGACACTGAAATACACACAGCAGCACAATTTCTTCATGAGTAACAACACAAAATCATCTGAGACTTTCATCATCACATGTACACCATGCACAAAAACAGCAATTTCTTGACCAAACTTTCCATGCCATTTCCATAACATTTGAAGTTTTAATTCATTTCCAGGATTTTTCCATTTCCAGGATGGGACATTTCGATTTTATGTTGCATAAGACTGTAGACCATTGTGAAAAAGAGTACTTATTAAAAGAATATACTTAGGTATGAACTGAATGTGAACTTAAGTGTAACTAAAACTAAAACCATTAAAAAACATTTTTGTTAATTGAAATAAAATATAGGTCAACTAAAATATTACAAAAGTATTAAAAATAGGCCTGAATTATTATTATTATTATTTTTTAAATCTCAGCTTTTTTGTTGCTGAGATTTAAAAAAAAAAGTCTTTATCTTGAGATTTATCTTGTTTTCATTTAGTTTAACTTGATGTACTAAAATAAACTAATACTGAAATGGTTAAAATCTATATAGATATATTTTTAAAAAAGAAACAAAAACTACTTAAAATGTCAAAACACAGCAAAATTTACTAAAACTGAAATAAGAAAAATTTAATTCAAAATATTAATAAAAACTATAACACTGCCCTGCATCATATTTGCTGAAATCCAATAATCGCTTCTAACAAATTTTGGCTGCTGGTTCCAAGAACGTCACACTTTCTCACTAAATGTTTTGCATTTTGTAACATTTTTGCCTTGGATATCCATCAGGGTGAAGAAGCCTTGTATTCTCCATTAATCAGCAGAAAAACATCACAAACACATGATTCCTGTTTTCCTGTCCTGCCCATTTTGACATGTATGACATTACTTGATGCCTAGTCCTGATTTTATATATACTTGTATATAATAATAATTATATATATATATCATTTGAAAAATCTTATTTTGTGAAACAACTTGATATAAAAACTTCCGTCATATTCAAATCAGGTAATATTAGTGCTGTGTAATAGTATCAAAGTCCTAACATAAGACTGGCAGAGCGTCTCACCTATCAGCAGGTTGATCAGGACCTCTTGTCCAGCCAGCGTGCTACTCTGAGTGAGACACACCAGAGTCCCACAGATCCACGTGATGCCGTGACCCGTCAGAGCCAGCAGAGTGACCGCCGAGCGCATGCTGCCCCATGAGGATGTGGTGTGGACGCACACGCCCAGACGCTTGGATAGACAGATGTCGATGGCCAGCAGTGAGTTGATGGCGATGCCTCTGAAGGACGGGTTGAGCAGCATGCAGTCTTCATCCGGCAGCCTGGTCGCCTCTCTGCGCTCCTTCATGCTCTCACCCGGCTCTGGCAGGTTCTCACTCTGCTGGTTCTGCTGGGACCTGGACTGGCCGGATCTTCGCCACGCTCTGTTGTTTCGCGGCGGGACGTTCAGGGACAGAAACTCGGGCCAGCCCATAACGCTGCTGCTGCCACTGCGATCCTTCGCTCTGGAGCGACTCGGGTTCAAAGGCATTGTGTGGCTTAATCGTACAGCAGGATGAGAAACTAATGTGAGCTTCAGATGTAGGTTCAAAGTAGGCTGTGAAAACAGTGTCAGATATATTTAGACATGCACAAGTGTGTGTGTGTGTGGATATCTAACTGCATATTGCTTTCTCATTTAGGTTTATAAATGGGTAGTTGTTCACAAATAAGCTTTTTTTTTTTGCAACATCATGATTTTAGGTGACAGTTTATTTTGATGACCACTTACAGCACTGCATTATTTTTTTACACTATTTTTTTCAGTTTAGATCACCTTTTTTGTCATCACTGATTCAATTAACTGGCCTTGAAATGTGATCTTTCCCCCCTAAAAATCTACAAAAATCGGATGTAGTCTCTCAATTAATATGACCTCTGCTTGCACAACAGAAATGTAGAAATTAAATATTTTATGTAGAAATTAAATAATGATTATCAGCGAGCTCTCTCTATTTTGTGAGCATTCTTCTGTCTCAGATGCATGTCTGAAATCAGTTTTTAAAGCACCTTATGCAAACGCTGCCTGTGTGAAGTCATTGCCTAGGCCTGAATTATTATTATTATTATTTTTTTAAATCTCAGCTTTTTTGTTGCTGAGATTTAAAAAAAAAAGTCTTTATCTTGAGATTGATCTTGTTTTCATTTAGTTTAACTTGATGTACTAAAATAAACTAATACTGAAATGGTTAAAATCTATATAGATATATTTTTAAAAAAGAAACAAAAACTTCTTAAAATGTCAAAACACAGCAAAATTTACTAAAACTGAAATAAGAAAAATTTAATTCAAAATATTAATAAAAACTATAACACTGCCCTGCATCATATCATACAGATGTAATCGATTTCTTTCATAAATTGCACGGACTGCTCTAAATTATGAGACATCTATTTCTGAGGAGTTTAGGACAGAGTAGGACACATGTTTATTCAGTAGCTGTTTTATTTCCTGTTTGGGTTTCTGCACATGTTTTATTTTATAACTGTTTTTTCCTAGACTTTGTTAGGTGCCAGTGTTTCAGAGCTATGCAAATAATATATTTCAAAGACAGTATCATGGCTATTAAATTGTATCTTGTTATGATTTTAAATCTGTATTTAACCTCAAAACGATCTCAAAGTAAAAAGAGGTGCTAAAGCCTGATATTGTGGTGGCTGTGCGCAACATCATGATTTTAGGTGACAGTTTATTTTGATGACCACTTATAGCACTGCATTCTTTTTTTACACTATTTTTTTCAGTTTAGATCACCTTTTTTGTCATCACTGATTCAATTAACTGGCCTTGAAATGTGATCTTTCCCCCCCTAAAAATCTACAAAAATCGGATGTAGTCTCTCAATTAATATGACCTCTGCTTGCACAACAGAAATGTAGAAATTAAATAATGATTATCAGCGAGCTCTCTCTATTTTGTGAGCATTCTTGTCTCAGATGCATGTCTGAAATCAGTTTTTTAAAGCACCTTATGCAAACGCTGCCTGTGTGAAGTCATTGCCTTATACTACAGGCAAGCGAGGCAACTGATTAAACTTTTGGAGGGATCCATTCACTTGTCTGGTTCCTCAATAAATCAGTGTTTTTGAGTGAAATGGCTAAGTGAATAATTCAACAATTCATAAAGACAATCACCTTTTGCCACATACTGGTTTAACCTGCAGAAAAAGTCACTGACAATGAGAAAATGTCACATCTCAAGATATTTTGATTCACCCTTTCCAGCAACTATAATTATGTCTGTCTGCAGGACACATGTTTATTCAGTAGCTGTTTTATTTCCTGTTTGGGTTTCTGCACATGTTTTATTTTATAACTGTTTTTTCCTAGACTTTGTTAGGTGCCAGTGTTTCAGAGCTATGCAAATAATATATTTCAAAGACAGTATCATGGCTATTAAATTGTATCTTGTTATGATTTTAAATCTGTATTTAACCTCAAAACGATCTCAAAGTAAAAAGAGGTGCTAAAGCCTGATATTGTGGTGGCTGTGCTTTAATTTAAATTATTATAATCTTTATTCAAGTTATTACATGTCCAAAGTAACCTTCCCAACACTGGATGCTTCACATCGTTTTGTCCTACAAACTGCACGCGCGCCTCTCTCAGCAGAACTACACGCCCCATACTGCGCGCGCTGGCGAGCGGAAGTGACGCCACGGGCGCGCTCAGTAGAGCAGCTGCAGCCGACGCGGTGACGCGCACAGCGCTGCGGGACGGAGGCTGAGCGCAGCAGCGGCGCGAGGATGAGGATGGATTATAACTGATGAAGAGAGACGCGCAATGATGGGCTGTTCATCACAACATGTGTGTTCGTGACAGCCGGACTGATTTATTCACCTCTCATGTTTATTCATGTGGGCTGGTGAAGTTCACCTGATGCTGAGGCGGATCGTTTACTCACAAGTGCACAAGAAAGTGAGCTTCCTTCAACTGAACCTCAAGGACAAACTCACGGAATGTAAATATTCATTGCAAAAAAAAAAAAAAAAAGCACTTTTCCAGCGTTACTTTTGATACCCAAACCGTCTATAGCAATTTTGCGCGCTTGTAGTTGAAGAATTTATTTATTTATTTTTTTTTTTTTGCGTACAAAATGCCAGCAGTATTCTGAGCGGATGGATTTAACCTATTTATTTGAATCTAAAAGCAATGTTGTGAGAGTTGTGAAGGCGAAAATGCCCGTTTTGACGATGACTGGAGAACGTTATGTGTTGTAACGGTCCGCCAATGACGGAAAGTTGACGAACATTTGATCTATTTTTTTTTATTATTCAACAAAATAACGTGATGCTGTCATTAATGAGAAACGCCTTTTCTAGTCCTCACGCGACACCGCGACGCGTCGTTTAGTGTTTTCTGAGGGAGAGTAACGTTAGTGCGCGTTATTCTGAGAGACGGCGTCTGGTGTGCGTTCCTCAGAGGTTCAGTGTGAAGTGTGCGTTCTTCTGAGGGTCAGTGTGTAGTGTGCGTTCTGTTGAGGGACACAGTGGGTATAGTGTGCGTTCTTCTGAGGGTTGATGTTCTGCTGGCCGCTCGTGCTGCTTGTGATGGGCTGCATTCAGAGCATCAGATGCAAACCCAAGAGTTTCCGGGACAGCATCGTGGTTCTGGAGGTGAACTCCTCCATCGACTCGAACCCCACCAGCATCGACGAGTCCTCCGGCGTGGTGCTGCGCTACCGCACGCCGCATTTCCGCGCGTCCGCCAGGGTCGTGGTGCCGCCGGTGGCCGGTAAAGAGAGCTGGACGGTCGGCTGGATCCAGGCGTGCAACCACATGGAGTTTTACAACAAATACGGATCCAAAGGGATGTAAGTATATCTGACACTCAACACAAAGGCTTCACATCACACCGTCTGCCTTTTAAAGCTCAACGTGACATGAATTTATTCATGTATTGCACTGCACTGTATGTATTTATACATTTATAATGACAGAAATAGGGATAATAACAATTTACTACATCTGTACTGCAGAAACAACAGCTGTAGCAACTTTTAGCTGAAGCTTTGCTTGCCATGGTAAATGTTTTAGTTAAGAGAAATGACAGAAAATGCATGTTTTATTGTTCATGTTGCACATTACATGCACTTGCTAACAAAAGTAAATAATGCATAATGGCATGCAACTAACCCTAAGTGTATAGTACATTAATTGTACTTCAGTACTTAATTATATAATTTCACTGTAACAAGGACAGTGTAACCAGAAACGATAATAACAATAACACAGTTTATTATCAGTAATTACAAAGTCATAAAAGCATCCTGTCTTCAGATGTTCAGCATTATTTGTGAATTGCACATGCTCTTGTGCAAATTGCACCTGTTTAGATGAACATCGTTTGAGAAGCTCAAATATGCAGAACACAATCTAAAGTCTCAATGTCTAAACGTTAGAGTCAAACCAATGTGGCAATCAGACATGAGCATGTAGGATCATCTTAAACTCGTCGTTTTGACCGTGTGGAGTGTAAAGCGTGATAATTTGATCATGTATGTGCTTGAGGTGACATTACATAGCCTGCATACCGTTTGAGGTTTCACTTGTCCTACTTCCTGTTGAAGAGACTACACTTTGCCCTATTTCCTGTATGAAACAAAAAATAAACCCTTCGGTGTCTTAAGATATCTGGAGACTGCACGTGCTCAGCCTCCGCATATTCCTGGAAACAAGAGCACAGAAATGATCATGCATTTAAAATAAATGACGGAATGACTGACGTTAAACTTGTAAAAGCAGCCGTTCAACATTAATACTTCATTGTTTAATCACTAGTTCCACTTCCTTTGTAAGTCGATGACATCATATCCTTTACAACAGGTCTTTGCATTTTACTTACAACTGCAAGAATGTATTTGAAAGTGGCGTTTACTGCAGACGGTAAAGTGACATGCACACATTTACTGCGGATATCACAGCATTGGGACAGTTTGCTCTGCAATTTTCCAATTGTTCCTGTTGCAGTGTAAAAAATTGTTAATTAAAAGGTTATTGGAGTAGCTACATGCACAGGAAAATACCATTCCAGTCCTTATACTTCAACATTTTGGTAATTATTTGTGAAATTTACTAGCAATTTCTAAGCAAAAATGGTTTCTATGACATTTCAGCAAACCCGAGTCCATCTGAAGGATCTTTACATTCAAGCACGCTCACAGAATTGCGTGGTAATGCTCTCGACTGATATTTCAGCTGCTGTTCTGGCCTGATAACGCCAGTCCTGTCGAATATTTACACACTCAGGAAACAAGAAAACACTTTCATATCAAGTAATTTTTGAGTCACATTCTCTCTTCACCGTCTGTTCTGCTCATATCGCGTGATTATATGAATTCCAGATCATTCCAGATTATTATTTTACATGAAGACCACAGTAAAGTGTACATTTAAGGCAAGACAGACCAGGTAAATAGTGTAAAATGTTAATTAATAGATCTCACTATATTTTCCCCAGTTGATTAATCACAGTACATTAAGACAATTGTTTTGTATTATAGGTTTTCTGAAATGTTATGCTTACATATGTAAATTAGGCATTATCTAATGAAATATGCATATATGTATTTAGGAGTAAAATCTTGTATAAGTCAGCGTGAATGATATAGTATGAACAAACCACTCAATAAAACCCTTCAGAATAAAGTTTGGTGTATGTAATGACTCCT